TACTAGATGACCCTAGGGCCCCCGTTCTAGATGACCCTAGGGCCCCCATACTAGATGACCCTAGGGCCCCCATTCTAGATGACCCTAGGGCCCCCATACTAGATGACCCTAGGACCCCCGTACTAGATGACCCTAGGTAAGTCACCCGAGACCCTAGCGCCTCAGTTTTTCCATCTGGGAAATAGTACAACGGTGATATTGTATGTAACTGCAGTGTTGTTTAGAGGGTAGGAGTGAGCTGACCTATGGAAAGCACTGGCCACTAGGCCCTGCTCAGGACAGAAGCCTCCCTTCAGGTCAGAGAACTTCAAGATAAGTTCCCTGCCGTGGTCTTCTCGTCTACATGCCGGCTTTCTGGCCCCAGAGTAGCAGAGGCCCTCAGGCCTCACTCAGGCCTCCTCGGCTCTCAGATAGCCAGGCCTGGCTGTGGTTCTGAAGGAGACAGACCCACGGAGGACATTTTGCTCAGGGCCACACAGCAGAAGCAGCAAGCTGGGAGGGGGGAGCCGGATGAACTCAGATGGGGGAAAACGGAACCCGGTTACTCATACAGGTATGAAGAGCTGAGGTGGGGGGGCATGGGAAGGCGAGAACGTGGAGGACGACGTGGTCCCAGAGGACGGGCCTCCCCAAGCCATTGCCAGCGGGCAGGAAGGGGGCAGAGACACATGGGGCGGGGCCAGGTGATCATGGTCACGTGCAGTGACAAGGTGGTGACAGATGCCACACGATCTGGGACTTTGAGACTTGGGCTTCCTGCTCCTCCCCACCCCCCAGATGCTCCTGCTTTGTGGCAGGGGAGGGGGCAGTGTGACTCCTGAACGGTGGGTGAGTGCTGGTGCCACGGTCCCCAGGGAGGGCCCCCACCCCCACCCCACCCCGGCCCCGGGGACAGATGCCTGCCCGGAACTTGCTGGACTCACCAGGAGATATGAGGGTGAACTCTTGGTGTAAAAGTTGGTTTACTTTCCCAGGGCTGAAGATTCCTTGAGAGAGGAGCGGACGTGCAAGGATTTGGTGCCAGGCTCTGCGTGTGCCTTTCGCGCGCTCAGGTTCTCCTCGGGGCTCCTGTAGCAGGTACTTCCAGAACGACCCCCCTCCGCTCCCCACCGTGCCCACGCGGCTCCAAGGCCTTGCGCCCTCCTGCAGTGAAGGGTGGGGGTGTTGGGACCTGGAGTCAGGCCCGAGCTGCCCACGTTGGAAGCCGGGGGCGGGGGACAGCTCGGCTGGGCACCAAGGGCGCGGAGCCGGGCTGGCCGCGTGGAACCGGGTGGAACCGAAGCCGAGGCCCTCGTGGCCCCGGCCCCCAGGCGGCGTCCCTCCTCGGGCTGTGCCGCACCTCGGCCCTTTTGCTTGCGGCCATCTGTGCGGTGGGGCCCAACGCAGGACTGGCGCTGCCCGCTGCCCGTGCCACACAGGACCCTTCTCCTAAGGCGCAAGAAGGTAACCTCTTCCCGCGTGGAACCCGCCCCTGCCCGAGTCCCGCGTGCGCTCCTCCCCAGCTGCCTGGGCCTCAGCCGCCCCAGGCCGCGGCTGCTTGCCACGTGGAGAGCGCGGCCAGGCCCCGCGCAGGGCACCTCCCCGCCCCGGGCAGCCCCGTGTGGCTGGCTTCATCCCGCTTCCTGGCTGCGCCAGATGGGACCCGGCAGGCCCCGCAGACACCCCGATGCCTCCATCACCCAGAAACGCGGCAGGGCGCAGACGCGGAGGGGCCCGCCCTTCCCCGAGGCCGCGGGTGGGGGTGCGGCAGCGGGTAGCAGGACCCCCAAGTGCAGGGGGGCGGCCCACCGCCAGGTCGGCTGGGAGCAGGAAGAGGCTGGACCTGGGTGAGCTGCTCCTTGTCACTGAGCAGGGAGGGCCTGTGGGCTTGGGAAGCTGGGGTCAGCTCGCTCACACAACCCCCCTGCTTGACTTTCCCGACCTCTCTGCCTGCCTCTCCTTTGGCCCACTCTTGGGATTGTACCTCCCGAGAAAGCCTCTCAGCACATGCACTTTGAACTAGGAATCCCACATAGCCGGTGTTTCTTCTTTCTTCTAGAAACCGTAGAAGGTATTCCCCCAAATAGGTTCCTGATGGGATGTGCCTCACGGAAATGAGCAAAGGGACAAGAAGTGAGTGTTTGAGCCCCGCCCAGAAACTGGTGCCCACGGTTCTTGTCTCTGGCAGACCACCTCCGACCTGGAGAGCGCCTTCTACACATTCCAGCAACATCGTTTAGTTTCTAAATGAGACTAAAGTTTCTTGGGAAAGCATGTGGGAAGCCACTTTTTTTTGGGGGGGGGGGTGAGATGCATTTGTTAACTTTACTGGAGAGGAGTCAGATACATGGATATGTGTTGGTGATAAAGGGGAACATTTTGAAGAGTAGATTAGAAAGGAGGACTTTCTCGTTACTGAAAAGTATCTGCTTCGACCACTGACTATTTGAAGAGCATTCTTTTCCCTGACAAATGTAATCATTTACTTAGCAGGGGAACAAGAAAGCCTTTGTATTTAAATAGGAAAGTCACCAAGGACACCCATTATTTTTGACATCAAAACTGAACGACGAGGCAGGAAAAATCCAGATTATCATGATGACAGGGAAGATGTGATCCAATATGTTCGTTTGCTTGAAGGAGGCAGGACCACATGAGAATTCAGCAGCGTGGCTGGACAGGAATTAGAATTTATAATCTATTTATAAACAGTGGCTTTCCTGCATCCGGGAGGCAGGTGGAACCGAGTGATGCCACATGACCCAAACTCCGTGTTCCTCTGCTTCCCCACGTGTGAACTGGGTGCTGATCCCGCTGCCCTCAGAGGTTCCAGGGAGTCACTATAGTTTGACTCCCTCAGTGCCCAATCCCAGGCTCATCCCTCCTTCCTCCCTGTTTTTTTTTTTGGATTTGCGAGTGTCCAAACTTTCACAGACTTCCTTGGAGGTAGGGTGGCTATTGGACATGAGTCTGGCCAGAGAGATGGACAAACTCATAGATGTCTCCTGGGTTCCTTTCTTCCTGCCTTAAAAATGGGTGTAATCCTGGAACTGTGGCACCCGTCTGGCAAGGAGAGAAGAGGTCAATGTCAGCAACGGCTTACCGCGCCTCTGAGCTTCTCGAGTGTGCAGAAGACAGATCCGGGTTCGCTTAAGCTACAGCTGGGTGAGTATTTTGTGACCTACAGATTTTCATTTGTGTCTGAATAACATGGAAAGCATAACGTAACGTGTCTGGTGCCTAAAGGAGGCTTAATAAATAAGCGCTTGCTTTTACATTTTAAAATATTATATTTAAATATATTTGAAATACGATTCGGAAAAGTGTCTGATTCCTAATAAAAAAACTTAAATAATTCATGCTATATCTAACAAAAACAAGTACAAGCCGACCTACGTAAAGAAAACTATTAAACGCTGAATAATGACATAAAAGGAGACACGTAAGTAAAGAGATTGAGCACATTTCCGGACTAAAAGAGCCAATATTATAGAGATGACAGTTATCCCCAAATTAACCAATAAAGATTATCCCACTTAGTCACAATTCCAGTGGGTATTTTGAGGGAGTTGAAAAGTTGATTCTCCTTTTCCGTTGGAAGGATAAATATCCCAAAGTAACTGAATTGGCCTTGAAAAAAAATAATAAATCTGGTGAATTTATTCAATTCATCCAACCAGATGTTAGAGCTACACTGATTAAAACAATGTGGCATCACTGAAAGAAAAATCGATCAATGAAATGGCGTTGAAATTCTAGAAATAGATTCGCATATAAATATAAAACCATATATGATAAATGATAAGTGTGATCATTTACAGCAAAGAGCATATCAGTCAGGGTTGAGCCCAGGAAATAGGTCGCTTTAGGTATTTTGGACAGAAGGTGATTTAAAATAGGGAATTAGATATTTTCTTTTTTTTTTTAATTTTTTAAATGTTTATTTTTGAGACAGAGAGAGAGAGAGAGAGACAGAGCACGAGGAGGGGAGGGGCAGAGAGAGAGGAAGACACAGAATCTGAAGCAGGCTCCAGGCTCTGAGCTGTCAGCACAGAGCCCGACGCAGGGCTCGAACCCACAAACTGTGAAATCATGACCTGACCCCGAGATCATGACCTGAGCCGAAATTGGACACTTAACCGATTGAGCCACCCAGGGGCCCCAAGGGAATCAGATATTTATTTTCACCGCCATTGAGAGTACGGAGCACATCCTAGGCTGGATCTCCTGAAATGACTCAGCCTACATAGAACCGATTCAATGAGGGGCCTCTGGATCTAACCTAGACATTGCTGCTGAAGCTATGCCAGAAACAAGAAACCAAGCCAGATATAAGAAACAACAGCCTCTCACATTCAGGGAATTGGACCATGGGGTCCAAGGCTGTGGTCTGGGCATAGAAGTCCCATTAAGAAGCTGTCCCTACCGCCATTGCTTCTTGACCTCCAGGAAGCTGGTGAATGGACACTGGAGCACCATGCCAGGAAGCTTCATGGTTTTGGAGTCCATTTGGCAGTGGCAAGGTTCAAGAGACTTGGGAAGACAGTTCACTCCTTCCTTCCAGAATCTCTCGCGAGTACATGTAAATGATGCTAGAACATTTGCTTCCAGAACCTCAGTTTCAGGGGAGTCTGGAAGTGTTTCCTCTAGCTTTCAGTGTCCCCAAGTAGAAGCCAGATAACATGAGGGTTGAGAGAATTGATCCAAAGCGTCTGCTCGTAAGGGAAAAGAGCATCACATCGGGGTCATTGGTCAGGTCCCCACCGCGCCCCAAACATAAAAACATTCCCAAGTGGGGGCGCCTGGGTGGCGCAGTCGGTTAAGCGTCCGACTTCAGCCAGGTCACGATCTCGCGGTCCGTGAGTTCGAGCCCCGCGTCAGGCTCTGGGCTGATGGCTTGGAGCCTGTTTCCGATTCTGTGTCTCCCTCTCTCTCTGCCACTCCCCCGTTCATGCTCTGTCTCTCTCTGTCCCAAAAATAAATAAACGTTGAAAAACATTCCCAAGTGATCACCGCGTTCCAAACATAAAAATATTTCCTTGCGATTGAAGATTGAGGTGTTGATGGATGCCTGGGTGGCTCAGTTGGTTAAGCGTCTGTCTGACTCTGGATTTAGGCTCAGGTCATGATCTCTCGGTTCATGGGATCGAGCCCCTAGTTGGGCTCTATGCTGACAGCCTGGAGCCTGCTTGGGATTCTCTCTCTCTCCCTCTCTCTCTGCCCCTCCCCTGCTTGTGCTCATATGCTCTCTCTTTCTCTCTCTCTCAAAATAAATAAATGAGTTTTTAAAAAGATTTAAGTGTTGAAATTACACGTAAAATGACTAAAAGACCTATGGGAGAACAGATCTATTATCTTGGGGCCAGGTGTAACATGAAATCCAGAGGCTATGGAAGAGAAGATAAATATATTTAACTGAGTAAAAATCACGCTGCTCTGGTTTGCTAACAGATACCCTACACCAAGTTAAAAGACAAAAAGGGGGAAATAGCTATCATTTTTATTCTGGACAAAGGGTTAATATTTTCAATCTGTTAGAGTTCTTACAAATCCACAGAAAAAGATCAACAGCCAATAGTGAAATAGGCAAAGGACAGGAATGACTAGTTTTTTAAACCCTCAAGTGCAGATCCCTTTGAAGCATATGGAAACATGAGTAGCTTCGTTAATAATAAATACATGAAATTACAATGAGAATTTTTTACTTCGCCAACTGGCAACGTGCCGGAGAGTGATAACATCTACAGTTGGCAGGAGTGGTATGGAAATGGGGTGCAAATGGCTGCAAACTCTAAAAGTGAGTCTGGCTGTATGTGTCAGATGTTGACAGTCCCCGCCTTTTAACCTGCAACACGCTTCCTAGAATTTGTCTCGCGGAACAACGCTACCCTTCTCAGAATCTGCCCCACAGAAATACTCACGCAAGTGAGCAAAGACGCATTTGGCAGGCTCGTTGACAGAGTGTTACCTGGACGGGGGAAGCCTGGCCACAGGTCTCAGTGCCCATCCAGGGGCCATTACTCAAATAAATGATGATGCATCCACTCAATGGGTTACTAGGCAGCAGATAAAAAGAAGCAGGTCTAGGGGCTCCTGGGGGACTCAGTCGCTTAAGCGGCTTGGCTCTTAGTTTCGGCTCAGGTCGTGATCTCACGGTGTCATGGGTTCGAGCCCCACGTCGGGCTCCTCCGTGCTGATGGTGCAGAGGCTGCTTGGGATTCTCTGTCTCCCTCCCCCTCCGCCCCTCCCCCACTCACGCTGTCTCTGTCTCTCTCAAAATAAATAAATAGACTTAACAATAATAATAATAAAAAGAAGCAGCTCTATTTCTGTGGACATTGAAAGATAGCAACAATATAGCAAGTCGGAAATAGATCTAAGTAGGGAACACGATCCCCTTGTTTCTAAAGACAAAAATGTGGACTGTATATGCAGCAGGTCTGGAGACGTGCAACCCCAGTTGCTTGGGGGGGGGGGCGGTCACCTCGGGGCTACAGGAGTAGAGCTTCCTGTGGGCAGAACTTTCATATTTTACCACCTGTACGTCTTCGAGGTTTAACATCACGAAAAGACTTGAAGATCCATAAAGAACGAAACCCCCAATTCAGCCATGGAACCTAGAAGCGTGGCGTCTAGGTGACTGACACCCCCGTTAAAGTCAAAAGGTGCTTGGAGCTCACTTGATAGATGTGGAAATTAGGACTCGCACTTCTGTTGCTCCCAAGGCCACTTGGAAGGATTTGCATTATTCCTGAGGCCACGATTTCCGAATTCTGAAGCCAGAAGCAAAGACTGCCCTGGCATTTTAAGGTTGCATGGCACCTTCTACCCCTGGCTTATGGGGATTAACTTCCCTGCCAAGGTGGCTGGGTATGTGGGACCAGCATCTCCCAGGCAACCTTGGGGTGGGCTGTGTGCAGAATATCTCTTCGGATTAGCACCTGCAGTTACTGCCTCCAGCTCTTACTGTCTGCTTCTTGCCTGCCCAATCTGCATATTATTATTTGTTTTTTTGGGGGTTTTTTTTGTTTTTTTTTTGCTTAAACTTGGTCACCTTATCTTATCTTGGCTTGCTGCTTGCCTGTGCGAGCTGTGGTAATTGGCCTATTTCGGTAATTTCCTGAATACAATCGTAGATGTTACAATGCTTCAAAATTTCCTGCGAAATTTTGTACTTGAACCTACATTTTCAACCCAGCCTCTTTTGTAAATCTATCCTTTGGTTCTTTGTAACAGATGATTCAGTACCCAAGATGCTTCAGTTAAAAAAAAAAAAAAATCATTTCTTTCAAACTTGTCAGAATGGCCGAATCCTGGGTGTGAACAGAGGCAAGAGTCTGTGATTGAGAGTGTGCGTCCACAGCCTGCTGTGCGACCCTGGGCAAATCACTTGACGTCTCTGGGCCTCAGTTGCTCCATATGTAAGTTCGACGTGAGCGCCTGTTACCTTGAACAAGACAATATTGTGGTAATTTTTGCCCAATTATCCAATCAGTAAAGCATTTGACAAGCCTGACCTGATTAACAGGTTACGGAGAGCCTTCTAGCTGTCGGGGGATGGGTAGATGGTAGAGGGGCCCAGGGAGAAAATGGCAGCCTCTGAAACCCGTCCCATTCCATCCTCACTGACTGGGCCCCAGCCAGCTTCCCCTCGGCGTGACCCTGTCCCAACCTGCCCGTTCCGCACACAGGACGATGCTGCTTCACGAAGCTTCTCTGCCTTGGCGGCTTCTCAGCACACTCAGGGGAGAAGCCACATGCTAACCATGGTCCATGGGGGTCTACGAAGCCCACCCACTTCTGTCTCTTCGTCTCACACCTCTCTTCTTGTTCCCAAGGTGCCACAAACAGCTAATCTTCCTTCAGTTTTGTTTTGTTTTGTTTTTTACTATGTTACTCTGTCTCCCACCCCAGGGCCTTTGCCTATGCTGTTTCCGCTACCCAACGGTTGGTCCGGCCTTCTTTCTCCTTCATTAGACCCAGCTTCAGGATCATCCCCGATAAGAGATGGGGGTGTGCAGCCCACATCCTTTCCTGTTTGTACTTCTTGGGGTGGTAGCACCCCAAATTCCCTCTGTGGAAGCATCCCTCCCACACTCCACGGAGCTCACACGGGGAAGCCACGCCAGGTCCAACAAATAGAAAGCTGTGAAAGTCTTTCCTTTAGTTTTCCCTGGGGAAGAGCCCTTCAGGCCTCCTAGCAATGGGGTGGGAATAGTGGCATCGTGGCCACACAGGCGGAGCGCTGAGGAATAAATGTGACCTTGTGCCCAGGCTTCCAGTAGCTCCTCACACACCCACACCTTCCTGTAACTGATCCCGAGCCTCCTGGCACCTGCACACGGAAGCTGAGCCCCTTTCGACGGATCTGACACCCGCAGGCCCCTGTGGGGCGGCCGCCTCCGCTCCGCAAGGCCAGCCCCTCTCAACGTTCAGTTTGCCCTCAGCCTCCAGTGGGTGGCTCCTCTCCCACCCCCTTTGTCCTTCTTGCCATTTCCCTGGAGGTGGAGAGAGGAGAGCCGACTTAAGGAGAATGACTGCCCATCACCACATCCAGCCAGAGGTTGGTCCCCCAGAAGCGCTCGGTCTTCTCCTCTCGGGAGGTGACCACAACCTTTTCCCGCTGTCCTCGGACCTCCTCCCTCATCCCCTCCCTGCTCAGACCCAGGAAGTGACCTCATGTGCTCCAGTCTCCAGAGGGAAGACCAATAACCACCCTCCATTTCCGGCCACTTTCTGCAAGCCAGGAACACCAACTCTGCTTAATCTACGTGGGAAGGATTTTACTGAAAGGATGTTGAGTAGCTCACGGGTTCTACAGCGAGACTGCAGGGCAACAGTTCGTCTTAGAGGAGCCAAAACCAGTGCCTGGTCAAGGGACAGAGCCGGCGCCGACTCTGGGCACAGACACTGCTGTTTCCATCACTAACCCTTCCGGTCCTGGGTCTCGGACACTTCTGCTGAAATCACAGACGATGCGTCGTTACCACGCCCACCAGAATGCTGTCGCTATAGGACCTGCTTCTTTTTTTTTTTTAATTTTTTTTTACGTTTATTTATTTTTGAGACAGAGAGAGAGCATGAACAGGGGAGGGTCAGAGAGAGAGGGAGACACAGAATCTGAAACAGGCTCCAGGCTCTGAGCTGTCAGCACAGAGCCCGATGCGGGGCTCGAACTCACAGACCGCGAGATCATGGCCTGAGCTGAAGTCAGATGTTTAGCTGATTGAGCCACCCGGGCGCCCCAAGTATCCGACGGTTTTAGCTTCAGGAATGGGGGTCCTCGTTCTCCATCACAAGACGGTGGATGCCTTACGCCTAGGAATGAGGTTCTGATGCCAAGAGGCCAAAAACAAATTGACAGTGTCCACCGTCCACCCCACTGTCTGCTCCACACATGCTTACACTTCTTCAAAAATGTCCCTGTCTAACATAGTGCAAATCTCCCTCATAAAACAAAGCCCGTTCGAGAGCTGTCCAGACTCTTCTCTTTTCTGAGAACCAGGATCTCTGTATCATGACCACTTGTCCCTTGTTGCTAAAACGATCACCTCTCCACATTTTGTAATCTAAGGACCCGATAGTGGTCATAGCTCAATAAAATGGAAAGACAAAAGTTCTTCTTAATGATGTAGAAGAAAAAAGGGAGAGATTATTTCAGATAATTTTCCTTCTACTTGAAGCAGTGAGGACTGAAATACAGGGAGCTTTTGTGGCTGTTGTTTTGTGACCGTCCTGTAGCTCTACTAAGCAAATCTAGCAAGTAGCATCTTAAATTCTTGTTCCCTCTGTCTCCTAACATCCCTCAGTTAACCCTTTCTGCTGTGGGGTGAGTATGGATGAGGAGCCACAAAGAGGTGGTTTTGACTGGCAGAGTCTAGTTCACGTGCCTGAGCCTTCGGCGGCCCTGCCTTTATAGACTTGCAGTCTAATTTGTCATCAGAGAAGAGAGGTCAGGAGCATCAGGGCATCCCCAGGGAATCCCTCGGGTGCGTGCACACTCTCCGCCTTACCCCCGTGCAAGTATGCCACTGTCCCTCCTTCCCCCTTGATAATCAGCTTGGCCCCTGCCTCTGATGGCCTCCCTGCTCCCTGAAGGTCACAAGAAGCTTCCGATGGCCAGATGGACTTCTCGACGTCCAGTTTAAAGACATAGTTGCCCTGCCAACTGGTGGGAGCACCTTCCTCGTGGGGATTAAGTCCTCTAAAGGATCAGAACCCAGAGCTGTGAGGATTGAATGAAAGACGACGACCCAGCTGACCGATAGGCTAATACAAGCCTCAGGCCCTTCAAAATGCTGCTGCAGGAACCCCTGACATCTCCGGGACCTCCCTGCCTGCGGCAGTTGCTCACTCAGCAGGAAGATGTGCCTCGCCGTCGAATTCTCTCTCGATTTGCATCTAAAACCCCGGTTGTGACAAACTAGTAGATGCGGATGGAGTTCAGCCTCCGTGTTACACGCGGGGCCCCTCAAGGGGGGTGGGAATGACACCTGAATGCCAGTTCCCCTCCGCCCCTTCAAGACAGGGCCCAATCTCTCTGTGCTCGGGGGGCCGGACGACCACCCTGCTTGGCACCAGAGTGGTTTTAGTCACTGGCAGACTGGAACCTCGGCGGTGTCGGTCGGTAGGTCTGCCCCGGTGGGGGGAGGGCTAGGCCTTTGCTGTGTCTTCGTGCCTGTCCCCCAGTCTCTGCCAGTGGTCGGTCAGACCCCTCTGCGAGTTTTCAGTGAGTATTTATTCCACAGCTGACAGTCTGGGCCGCCTTTCACTCACGGGTGCCAGGGGCCATCAGGACTCCTCTCCTTGATTCCAGACAGGGTTTCACTTCCTTCAATGACGTGCTGTCCAGGGAATTCCATCCCACATTTCTCTCAACTTCCTGAGGATCTGGGACCAGCGTTTACATCATACAGGGGACTTGGTTGCCCGCAACAGAGACCAATTCTGGGTAATGTACACAGCATGGTTATTTATTTTAATATTGCCAGCCGATTCACAGAATCCGCGGGAGGGTTGGCAAACCGGATCGGAGGCCACAGAGTCAGAGGCCGTCGCCCGAATCAGACTGCAAGAATGGTCTCCTGAAGGCGCCGCTGTCTACACTGTTGGACACGGCTGGCTCTTTCCGCGCCCTGCAGACTGGACGCAGCCACCTTCACAGGCGCTGTCCTCCAGGGAACGAACCTTCACGGCTTCCTAGCACCGTCTTCTGATGAAAAGTTGAGGACAAGGAGCCATAAAGAGGTGGTTTTGACAGGCAGAGTCTAGTTCACGTGCCTGAGCCCCCAGCTACAGGAGGCTAGAAAATAAATACATGAGTTTTCAACGTCTGTGACAGGAGGCAGACTCTGTTGTCCAAGAGAGGAAGAGGTTTCGCTGCCGTGTGACCATGAAGAATGACAAATACTCACCCTGTCCCCCATATGTACTCAGTTACTAATTCTACCTATAGAAGGTCCAGAATCAATTTCCTACTTAATGCTTCCTCCTAAACCTCTCTCTTCTTAACAGCGTTTCTGACACACAATTCACCTGCCATAAAATCTACCCATTTAAAGTGCACGATTCAGGGCTCCCGGGTGGCTTAGGCGGCTAAGCAACCAGCTCTCGGTTTCAGCTCAGGTCGTGATCTCCCGGTTTGTGAGCTCAAGCCTCGCGTGGGGCTCTGCGCTGACAGTGCAGAGCCTACTTGGGGTTTTCTCTCCTTCTCTCTCTGCCCCGCCCCAGCTCATGCTGTCTCTGTCTCTCTCTCAAAAAAATAAAGTGTACACTTCAGTGTTTTTTGGCATATTACATGATGAATGTTTGTAAATTGGGGTAAAACACATAACATAATAAAACTTGCCATTTTAACCATGTTAATTAAGTATACCATTCAGTAGCATTAATTACATTCATAATGCCGTCCAACCATCATCCCCATTTCCGAACAGAATCTCTGTCATCATAAGTGATAACGCTCTTTTTCCCCTTCCCTTAGCTCCTGATCACCTCTCCTCTACTTTCTGTGTCTATGAATGTCCCTATCCCAGAGATTTCCTATAAGTAGAATCATACAATATCTGTCTTTTTGTGTCTGGCTGGTTTTTGTGTCTCATTTAGTGTGGGCCATCCATGGTAGAGTGTGCCTCAGAACTTCATTCATTTATGGCTGAATAATATTCCACTGCGTGGAGAGATCCCATTTTGTTCATCCGTTCATCTGTGGATGGACGCTTGAGTTGCCCCACCTTTTGGTTATTGTGAACACTGCGTACACATATTTGTTGGGGTCCCAGCTCTCAGTTCCTTGGGGTATACGCCTAAGAGTGCAAATGCTCGTTCATATGGTCATTCAATGTTTAGCTATTAAAGATAGCTAAAATATGAGAAACGCAGCAAATTGTTTTCCATTAAGGCTGCACCATTTTAGGTTTCCACCAGCAATGTGCAAAGGTTCCAATATCTCCACATCCTTGCCGACATCCTTGTCATTTTCCATTTTTTTTGTGTGATAGCCTTCCTATTAGGTGTGAAGTGATACCTCATTGTGGTTTTGATTAGCATTTCCCTCATGATTAGTGATATTGAGCACCTCCTCACGTATGTATCCGTGTGTATATCTTCTTTGAAGAAATATTTTATTCAAGTCCTCTGGCCATTTTTTAAATTGAGTTGTTTGTCTTTTTGTTGTTGAGTTGTAAGAATTCTTTATATTTTGTGGATACTGGGCCATTGTCAGATATACGGTTTTCAAATTATTTTCTCCATTATGTGGGTTGCTTTTCATTATCTTAATGTCCTTTGATGCACAGAGATTTTAAAATGTGACGAAGGGCAAGTTGTCTGTTTTTTCACGGTTGTTACTGTTGCTTTTGGTGTTATATCTAGGAATTCATTGCCAAATCCAAGATCTTAAAGATTTACCCCTCTGCTTTTTCTAAGAGTTTTATGATCTTAGCTCTTACATTTAGAACACTGATCCATTTTTAGTTAAGTTTTGTTTAATTTTGTATATGGTGTGAAGTAGACGGTCTAACTTCATTCTTTTGTACCATCTGTTGAAAAACTATTCTTTCTCCATTAAATGCACTTGGCTTCCTTGCAAAACCCAATTGGCCAGCGATGTACGAGCTCATTTCTGAACTGTCAATTCTGTCCTCCTTATCTTATGTCTATTCTCATGAGTATCACATTGTTTTGATTACTATAGCTTTTGTATTAAATTTTAAAACCAGGCAATGTGAATTCTCTAACTTCGGTCTTCTGTTTTCAAGACTGCTTTGGCTATTTGAGGTCCCTTGTAATTCCATATAAATTTGAAGATTGGATTTTTTAGTTCTGCAAAAAAAGAGCCATTGGAATTTTGGTAACAAGCATTGAATCTGTAGATCTGTTTGGTTAGTATCTTTATACTATTAAGTCTTTGTATCCATGAGCATGAGATGCCTTTCCATTTACATACGTCTTAATTTCTTTCAGCAGTGTTTTGTAATGTTCAGTGTTCAAATGTTTCACATCGTAGGTTATATTTATTTTCAGGTATTTATTTTTGGAGATGCTGTTGTTCCTTAATTGCTTTTCAATGTCCTTTTCTGATTATTTATTGTGGGTGTGTAAAAATACAACTGATTTTTGTATGTTGATCTTGCTCCCCGGAGCTTTGTTGAATTCGTTTATTACTTCCAGTAGCCTTTTTTTTTTTTTTTTTTTTGGTGGATTCTCTGGGGTTTTCTCTATGTAGAATAATATCTGCAAACAGAGGTATTTCACCTCCTCTTTTCCAGTTTGGACGCGTTTTGTTTCTTTGTTTTATTTAATGGCTCTGGATAGGACAATGCTGAGTAACAGTGTTGAAAGTGGGCACCCTTGCTTCATTTCTGATCTTAGCGGGTGGTTTTAAGTCTTTCTTTTATGATATTAGCTGTAGGTTTTTCATAAATGCCCTTTATCATGTTAAGGAAATTCCTTCTATTCCTAGCTTTCTGAGAGTTATTTTTTAATCATGAAAGTATGTTAGATATTGTCAAATGACTATTCTGCATCAAATGAGATGGTCATATGGATTTTTTCTTTCATTGCATTAATGT